CATCTACCTTAATCTGATCCACAGTAACCAGTGAGGATTGCCTTTTTTCCAATCTAAGAAGTAGGCAGAGTTTTGCTCTTTGCTATCCACTTTTTCCTGATCTAACATATGCTCCTTTAGCTTTTGCTTTATATATGCCATCTAACTTATTTTGAAATTTATTATACTCTCCTCATTAGAGAGGTCCTCCTGCTGGGAAAGAGAAGCTAGCTGCACAATAACATCATCCTCCACTGCTCTTTTCTCCTTGGCTTGATCACCACCAAATTTCCTTAGAAACTTACCTATCTCATATTTTAGGAGCTCCCAGTTCCTCCCATAGGAACTCTGAGATTTTGCTCTGCTCCAAAAAGTATTGATCATTTCCTTAATTTGTAGTTTGACCTGTTCATGCTCAGGGAGGGAACTATTTAGCTTCCAGAATGAGGCTTCTGGGCCTGAAGATTGGTCCAAGGACAGCGATATGGAAATATAAATCACTTTATGATCGATTAGGGATAGGAGTGTTACAGATATTGCCTGAAATTTTATTATCCAAAAAACATCTGGATAGCAGCCAGTAGTCAGTTCTAGATTGTCTTGAGCAGTCCTTATTGGACCAGGTAAATTAACGCTCCTCTGGTTGCAGTTTTCTCCACACATCAATCAGATCAAACTTATTCATAAAACGATTTAAAGCAGAGCTAGACAACCCAGATCTCCTTGGTGCCCTGTCTAACATTTTGTTCATGGCTATATTAAAGTCTCGTGCGTTCGAGACTGACTTTCGCTGACTTGGTGGTCTAACGTGACGTAACGCAGGCGACTGCAGGGGCAGGGTTTAACAACGGCGCCGTCAAGTCTGACACATTTTACCTGCATCAATGACCAAACCAGGCAATAGTGGGGTTCCGACTTTATGCAGTCAGAGAAAAGCAAAAGCCGCCGGACTCGGGGCCTGCAGCCGCCTTGCTCCCACAAGGTTTTAATGTCATGTGACGTGGTGACGTTTTGAAGCGCCGGTGAAAGTCAGACACGATTTCTAACCAGCATTTGGGACCAGTTTGTTAATGATCTGAAGAGGTTTAAAAATGACATCGATCCTAAATGTACTTTCTATGAGACTCATATAGAAACGATATTACATTTGTTTTGGCACTGTACTTTTGTAAAACAATTTTGGCAGGATGTTTGTATATTTATTAATGATTATATATATCCAGGTCTCAGCTGGTTCTAGCAGAATGTCCTTTTTGGAGGTTTCAGTAATGAAAAGCAGCACTGCGACCATTATTTTCTAATAAATTTTATTTTGTTTCTGGAAAAATTTCTTAAATAAAGATGTAAATGCAAATTTACAAACAAAAAAAAATATTTATAGTCTTTGAGAAGGAAACTGAACTTTATTGTAGAAAAATTCGTTTCTCTTCCAACAAAAGGCTCTGAAGGTAGGCCTAGGGTGAAGTCAGGTAAAGTGGGACACTTTTTGGTAAATTGCCTTTTAAACAACCTAAATCAGTTAGAATGTATTAAAATTGTATGTATTTTTTTTAAATAGGTTGTTGTGAAGACACCTACGGTGAAATTAAGCCTATTTATTTATTTATTATCAAATTGTTTATCTTTAAACATCATCTGTCACCATCTTCGGCAAACTGGAAGCAATGAGGTTGAGTGGGACACTTTGTTAGATAAAGTGGGACACTATATTATTTGAGAAACATGAGAAATACTTTTTACAACATTTAATAACACATTAATAGGCATTTTAAAATGATATTAACATTTAACAGCATATACAATGTGTTAGCATACAGTAACTCAAAGAGATATAATTTAGTTAAAAATATTCAACAATGTGTGAAAAAAAATCATGTTTGCGAGTAGCCTAAAGGCAAAATGTCTTCAGTTTATTAATACTAGGCTATGTAAGTTATTAAATGCATTTCTGAAACTATGTGGGGCTTTTACCTGATGCCTCTCACCAGCCCTTTCACTCACTTTTGTAATGTCAATTTCAGGGTGTTCTATGCCTTGGCTAAAAACCTTACCTTAGGTTACTGTCCTTTATATTCCTCAACGTCCGCTGCCATTTTCTCTTCCGTCCACTTGTTGAGTTTTCTTCCCTAGTGTATTTAAGAAATTACCAACCATAAATTTGATACTCAGATACATTATTCTTACCAGCAACTTTAAAATGTTATCTTTTTTTCTTTGATGTCACACCAATCACAACCTCTGTTTCATATCCAATAGACATTCAACAACAACATTTACATTTACTCATTTGGCAGATGCTTTTATCCAAAGCGACTTACATTTGAGGAACAACATACAAGCATCAACAGAGCATCAACTACAGATCTACAACTGACAATACATACTAGTAAGAGCAGCAATAAATACTAGTAAGAGCTCACAGTACATATCACATCAATGGGGTAGATACCTAGGGAAGGAAGTAAGAGTTAACAAAAAATGCAATCAAAACAAAAAGTGCAATCAATACAAGATCATTGTAGGGGATAGAAGAAGAAGAGCACAGGAAGTGCATGTTAGAGGTTAGGAGTTAGAGGTGTTATAAGAGGAAGTGTTCTCGGAAGAGATGAGTTTTCAAGAGCTTCATTAAGTTAGAGAGGGACGCCCTGCTCTGATGGCGTGTGGTAGCTCGTTCCACCATCGTGGTGTCACAGATGAGAACAGGGACTGGGACTGCTTTGTGTGAAGGGATGGCAGAGCCAGGCGGCGTTCGTTGGAGGAGCGTAGCGGCCGAGAAGGAACGTAAGTTTGTATTATGGAGTTTAGGTAGATGGGCACAGACCCAGTAGTCACTCTGTATGCAGCATTAGTGACTTGAATTTGATTCTGGAGGCCACGGGGAGCCAGTGGAGGTCACTGAGTAATGGAGTGACATGAGTCCTTTTGGGCTGATCAAAAACCAGACGTGCCGCTGCATTCTGAACCATTTGTAAGGGTTTCACCGCACAAGCTGGGAGACCTGCTAGGAGGGCATTGCAATAGTCGAGGTGAGAGATAACCATGGCCTGTACCAGAAGCCGGGTGGCGTACTGAGTGAGGCAGGGCCTGATTTTCCTTATGTTGTATAGAGAAAATATTGTAGGAACGCCCCGAGAGGTAGGATTCGAACCACAGGAGTGCTTTACTCGAGATGCCCATTGCTGAGAGAGCGGATAGCAGGATCCTGTGGTTGACTGTGTCAAAGGCAGCTGATAGGTCAACCAGGATAAGAACCGAGGATTGGGCTGCAGCTTTAGCTGACCTTAGGGCTTCTGTTACAGACAGAAGAGCCGTTTCAGTAGAGTGGGCACTCTTAAAACCAGACTGATATGGATCTAGGAGGTCATTCCCTGAGAGGAATTCTGAGACCTGTTTGAATACTGCCTGTTCAATAGTTTTGGATAAAAAAGGTAGGAGAGACACTCTTCGATAGGCTTTTTGAGCAAGGGTGTAACCCGAGCCCTTTTGAAAGTGGTCGGGAAGGTTCCTGAAGCCAGAGAAGTATTTATCACATGAGTGATTGTCGGGACCACAATATGACTTGGAGGAGATTCTTAGGAATCGGTTCCAGTGGGCATGTAGATGGACGGCTACGGGTCAAGAGTTCTGATACTTCGCTCTCTGTGAGAGGAGTAAACGAGGAGAGTGAACCACCACTGACCTGGAAGGGCAGAGGAAAAGATGTAGTAGGACTGCTACAATGATTGAGTTTGAGTGTTTCAAAGAATTGGCTAGTTATAGCCTCCACTTTGCCTGTGAAGAAGGCAGCAAAGGTATCAGTAGACAAGTTTGTGGGTGGTGGAGGAGGATTTAGTAGCGCTTTAAATGTGGAAAATAATTTCCTTGAGTCAGTGGCACCGCTTATTCTGTCATTACAGAACGCAGTTTTGGCAGCACTGATGCTTGTTGAGAAGGAGGATAGGAGCAATTGGTAGCCCTTAAGGTCGGCGTGGTCTTTGTTTTTTCGCCATTTTCTTTCAGCCGCTCTGAGATCGGTACGGAGCCCACAGATGGTATCAGTTAGCCACGGGTGGGGCTGGTTTGGGCGAGCAGGCTTGGTGGATAGAGGACACAGGCTATCCAGGCACGAGCTTAGTGTAGAGCACAGAGATTGTGTGGCATCATTGACCTCAAGTGAGGAAAATGTGTTGAGGGAGGGTAGAGCGGAAGCTACCACTGAGGCAAAGTGAGTGGCAGACAGGTTGCGGAGGTTGCGGCGGTGAGAAACCAATGGTGTTGGAAGAATGGGCTTTTCCTGTAGGCATACCTTGAACTGAATGACATAGTGGTCAGACACATGTAGAGGTGTGACTGTTAGGCACTCTGTGGCACAGTTTCGGACAAGAACGAAGTCAAGCACCTTGCTAGCTTTGTGGGTCGGGGGGCTGAGAACCCGTGTTAGCTCAAAGGACTGAATCAAAGACAGGAAATCTACTGAGTTTGAATTGTCTAAGTGAATGCTCATGTCACCAAGGACAAGTAGGGGACAGTCATGCTCTGGGATTGAAGACAGCAGTGTGTCTAGCTCCTCCACAAAGTTACCAGTTTGTCCTGGTGAACGGTATATGACAATCACAGAGACCTTTACCGGAGCGGACACAAAGACAGCATGGTATTTGAAGGAGGCCTATTGATTCGGGGGTAGCAGCTGTGTGAATTTCTATTTGTTAAGAACCCAGTCCACAACACAATTGTTGTGATTGGCTTACAAAATTAACCCTGTACTCAGAAGCTTAAGTGTCCCACTCAACCTGAATTCACCCTACTTAATCTCTGTACACGTTTGAAGGTCTTTCTGTGATATTATTTTTTTTGTTTTTTATATTTTTCTCTTATTTTGAAGTAGTCCCCCTAGCTATATGTACCTTTGAATCTTTTATGTGTTGAATACATCCTTGGATGTTGCATTAATAGTCAAACGCAGACTGTCTTCGGGCGTTGTTCAATCAACAGATGGCGGTAATGCGACGTTTATGGATGTCCACCGCCAGGAAGAAGAAGAAGAAGAAGAAGACGTACGGACGTGATGTTGGTGCCTATCTGTTTGTCTACTACTGTGCTAGTTAGCATGTGTATGTTTTGAGGTTCGGCTTAATTTACGACTTGCATTTTCTGTAAATACACATTGGAATATTCACGTCTTCGGCAACACCATGAGTACGTTATGGATGGGGAACGTGAGTTGATGACTTTTTATTGCGATATATCATTTAACGTAACTGTAACCACCGTGTTAAGTTAGCTGTCTCTACAAAAGCACTTAATGTTACGTTGTAAGTGGAATGTAACGTTAGTTCAAGACTCCCTTTAGAAAACTAGCACTTTAATAATGCATTGATCTTTGTGTCGAGTAGATGGAAAAACTGCTGATTAACGTTAATGTTGCTGATTCGGCACGCTAGTAATGCAACACGTAACGTAAAGCCTAACGTTAACGTTAACTGTTTGGTGATTGCTCCTCCGCTGCGGACGATGGAGTCTGCGAACAGCTATACGAGGATGAAACAAGTTTAAACAGAAAGGAACATTAAAGGGAAACTTGTGGAACATTTATTCTGTATGTAAAAATAGAAAAAGGGCGATTTCACAGTTTTTTCTCAATCCAAATGAAAGCAGACCAGGTCTACATTAAACCCCGGTGTGCTTACATCTGTCAAACACGGACTAGAAGAACATTATGAAACATTTAACGTTATTCTGTTTGTCACGTATTTTCTACATCCAGGTCCCTCCAGACCAGGTGCAGGTCAAACACCATTGGACTTAGATTGTCAAACCTGGAACAGATTAGCAAGGAGACCCTCACAACTATTAAAACACCTTTAACAGTTGTGAAACCTTTTGTTATTATTTTTTAAGCAGTTTGTATATAGATCAGTCTGACATTGTCTGGATGGAGAAAAAATTGCCATCACCCATTTTCAGTTTGTACACAGATTTAAAAATGTGAAAATGGACTTTGACTTGGATGTTCTTATAATTTCCAGCACCTGCTTCACAGCTTTGAGTGGTGTAATGGTGGAGAATCGGCCGATCACTTTCACTTCCCACTTAACTTGCAAATTGGATTTTGTGGACTGAATGCCTTGTATTAACCACCTCACCCTTACAGAATGATTCCTCAGCTCTGTTTTCCAGTATGTTTTTGTGTTGCTCTGTAGCTAGAAACCTACATGGATGAGAAGTTTATCACCAGAGCCTTTTCCACCATGGGAGAGCAGGCGATTAATGTGCGAATCATACGCAACAAGATGACAGGGTGAGAACTAAATCCACGAGCAGTTGTCCTTTTGCAGTTGCTGTATTCTGATGTTAAACAGTGTGTTGTCACCCAGGGGGGCTCTGGGTTACTGTTTTGTGGAAATGACAGACGAGGCCACAGCTGAGAGGTGTCTCCGTAAAATCAATGGAAAAGCCTTACCAGGAGCCAATCCGGTATGAAGAGCATTTATAATTCACAGTAACCATGCTTTTTTCCATATCTCAATTAATGAAGACCCCTGATAAATGGCATGCTGGACTTGTGTTTCTTTCTCACAGCCCACAAGATTTAAGTTAAACCGAGCCACCTTTGGGAAACAAGACAGCGGGTGAGTACAAATTGAGAAGCAGGATATCAAAGATGACTTTCACATTAAGATGTTTACTTGTCATTGACTCCCCCTTTTTATTAACACATCATATGGCTTCTTAGCTGGACTGTGATAAAAACCTCCCTCTATATTCCCTCTTGTTGTAGTCAGATGTATTCTCTGTTTGTGGGAGATCTAACTCCAGAGGTGGATGATGGGATGCTTTATGAGTTCTTCTACAACCGCTACCCTTCCTGTCGCGGTGGAAAAGTGGTGCTGGACAGCATGGGCAACTCCAAGTGAGTATTCACATGTCACCACACAATATCACAATATGGAGAAAATATGTAACAAATGTGTTTGTGTGCATATACAGTACTGTGCAAAGGTTTTAGGCAGGTTTGGAAAAATGCTGTAAAGTCAGAATGCGTTCAAAAATAGACGTGTATCAATTAACAAAATGCAAAGGGAGTGAACAGAAGAAAAAAATAAATCAAAAAAACGTTTATACAAACAGGTGCTAATGATCACCAATTCAATATGTAGGTTGAAACACAATAATTAAGTGAAACAGAAACAGCTGTGTAGGAGGAATCCAGCTGGGTGAGAAACAGCCAAACTCCGCTAACAAGGTGAGGCTGCTGAACACAGTTTACTGTCAAAGTCATACACCATGGCAAGACTGAGCACAGCAACAAGGCACAAGGTGGCTATACTGCATCAGCAAGGTCTCTCCTATAGGGCTGCAGCTAACGATGATTTTAGTACTCGAAACGTCTATAGATTATTTCAACAATTCATCGATGCGTCTTTTAAGAAGTACTTGTCCTAGCAGACATTTCAAGGCAGTCTGGGGTTTCTAGATGTGGTAACTGATAATATTTGGCTGCAGCAGAAGGCAGTTTTTCGCTGAAGGGCTGGAGAGCGGTACAAGAACAAGTGCCTGCAGGCAACAGTGAAGCATGATGGAGGTTCTTGCAAGTTTGGGGCTGCATTTCTGCAGACGGAGTTGGGGAGAATGGTCTCCTCAGTGCTGAGAAGTACAGGCAGATACTTATTCATCATGCAGTACCATCATGGAGGCATCTGACGGGCCCCAGATTTATTGTGCAGCATGACAACGAGCCCAACCATACAGCAAATGTTACTAGGGAATGACAGTAGATGGTGTATCAGGGTCCCACTGTTTTTAAAATGCTGTCTTCTTACTGGAACTTGTAAGCAAGACTGATATCAACCCTGTTCTTGCCTCCCTTCACTGGCTCCCAGTTAATTTTAGGATTGATTTTAATGATTCTGTTGTTTGGTTTTAAAGCCCTTCATGGACTAGCTTCAGCCTATATTGCTATATTGAATCTGCATGCTCCTTCAAGGTCATTAAGGTCCGCAAACCAGTCACTTGTTGTTGTCCCTAAAACACGGTTGAAGAACAGAGGGGATTGAGTTTTCTCAGGTGCAGCCACAAGACTATGGAATGAATTGCCTCTGCATGTCAGACTGTCCCCCAGCCTTCTGGTTTTTAAATCGCGACTTAAAACAAGTTTTTACTCCTTGGCTTTTAATCAAGGACGAGAGCTGTATGTTGCTGTTTGTTGCCGTTGTGTTTGTCTATGTATTGATTCATTTCAATGTACAGCACCAGGGATGTGATTTTTCCAGATTAATCTGGAATTCCAGATTTTCCGACCTGAAAATCTGACCCACTTGAAGCCAAAAAGCTAAAGGAAGACATGAGAACAGGGAGGAGATGTATTTTCGACAGCTGTAAATAACATTGTTGCCATTATTGTGTCACAGTAGTCATCCTGCTCATTTTTAAATGTGCTTTAGAAATAAAGTTGGATTGGACTGGAGATGGATTCAGCAGCTCTGAGCTGCTGGCACTGCTACAGGGAAGTAATCATGTTGTGTTTTTCACCTGCTGCTGTAAGTTTCTTTGGCCGACCACTGCTTCTTCGAAAGAGCTTGGACAGCAGATCTGGAAACCCCTGTCTGCCTTGAAATGGATGGGAGAGAGAATATATATGGATAGAAGTAGTGTGACAGAAGTGTGAAACTCATTTACATACCATAGAGCCCACCTGTTGAGAAACACTGCATAAATGAACCCACCTATTGTGGCCATATTCAGTTGTTGCTGTTGGTTAAGCCTAGTTCACACTACACAGTTTTAAGCCCAATTTGCCGGTCAGAGAGCTCAGCGACCGTGAGGCTGTGATCAGGGGTAAATCAGTGGTTGATCAGCGGTCGCCAGTCTTTATGTGTGAATTACTCTACGACGCATCAAAACGGCTCCCTGACACATCGCCGACGTCTGCCAGATATCTAGCATGCCAAATATCTGGAGGAGTCGGCCGACTCAACATCCACATCCAGCCAATGAGAGCAGGCAGCTACTTTTCACTGCAAAACACTTTTTACTCACCTCCAGCTTTCTGTAGCTCAGATAGTCTCTGCCACCTGCGTGTGCTTTCAGGCATGTTCTTTCTATATATACATTTCACCTGTGTTTTCCTGACAAAACATGATTTGGAGACCAGCGTCGGGTGACACAACCTCTGTAGTGTGTGACCCCCTGTCACCGATCAGTCAGAACGACTTCAAGACTCCCGTCACATGACGGCAAGTTGTGTAGTGTGAACAGCACAGCCATCGGCCGACACTGAAAGTCGTGTAGTCTGCTCGAGGCATTAGCCAACCTTGTGTGAGTGTATACACCTCACCTAAAGGATTATTAGGAACACCTGTTCAATTTCTCATTAATGCAATTATCTAATCAACCAATCACATGCAGTTGCTTCAATGCATTTAGGGGTGTGGTCCTGGTCAAGACAATCTCCTGAACTCCAAACTGAATGTCAGAATGGGAAAGAAAGGTGATTTAAGCAATTTTGAGCTTGGCACGGTTGTTGGTGCCAGACGGGCCGGTCTGAGTATTTCACAATCTGCTCAGTTACTGGGATTTTCACGCACAACCATTTCTAGGGTTTACAAAGAATGGTGTGAAAAGGGAAAAACATCCAGTATGCGTCAGTCCTGTGGGCGAAAATGCCTTGTTGATGCTAGAGGTCAGAGGAGAATGGGCCGACTGATTCAAGCTGATAGAAGAGCAACTTTGACTGAAATAACCACTCGTTACAACCGAGGTATGCAGCAAAGCATTTGTGAAGCCACAACACGCACAACCTTGAGGCGGATGGGCTACAACAGCAGAAGACCCCACCGCGTACCACTCATCTCCACTACAAATAGGAAAAAGAGGCTACAATTTGCAAGAGCTCACCAAAATTGGACAGTTGAAGACTGGAAAAATGTTGCCTGGTCTGATGAGTCTCGATTTCTGTTGAGACATTCAGATGGCAGAGTCAGAATTTGGCGTAAACAGAATGAGAACATGGATCCATCATGCCTTGTTACCACTGTGCAGGCTGGTGGTGGTGGTGTAATGGTGTGGGGGATGTTTTCTTGGCACACTTTAGGCCCCTTAGTGCCAATTGGGCATCGTTTAAATGCCACGGCCTACCTGAGCATTGTTTCTGACCATGTCCATCCCTTTATGGCCACCATGTACCCATCCTCTGATGGCTACTTCCAGCAGGATAATGCACCATGTCACAAAGCTCCAATCATTTCAAATTGGTTTCTTGAACATGACAATGAGTTCACTGTACTAAAATGGCCCCCACAGTCACCAGATCTCAACCCAATAGAGCATCTTTGGGATGTGGTGGAACGGGAGCTTCGTGCCCTGGATGCGCATCCCACAAATCTCCATCAACTGCAAGATGCTATCCTATCAATATGGGCCAACATTTCTAAAGAATGCTTTCAGCACCTTGTTGAATCAATGCCACGTAGAATTAAGGCAGTTCTGAAGGCGAAAGGGGATCAAACACAGTATTAGTATGGTGTTCCTAATAATCCTTTAGGTGAGTGTATGTTGTAAGAATTTAATTGTGGGCCATGAGGAGCCACATCTCTGGTTTCATTATTTCACTTGTGTTAGTAGGTTAGAGGGGTTCAGACTAGCTGTACTCATCAAAATACTTAGACTGAGTAACCTACACTCCTCATGTACACCCAGTACAGTACACCTATGCTGAGTTGTTTTCATTGGAGTAAAGCAGCAAACATGAGCACTGCCTGTGTGTCTGCTGCAGGGGCTGTGGCTTTGTTCAGTTCCCAGACGAGCGGCTGCAGAAGCGGGCCTTAGAGGAGTGTCAGGGTGCTGTGGGACTGGGTGCTAAACCTCTGAGATTGAGCCTGGCTGCTAACAAGTGAGTTGGTTTTTTTTTTCCTTAAGGAATTCACTCCTCTTGTCAGCAGCTGACTTATTTGGGCCTGGAACACAAGCCAAATGATTTGTAGAGTACAGCAGTGTGTCTCTTGCTCCCTCTTGAGTTTAAGGAACCGGCAGCAGCAGCAGTCAGAGCACAGATCATCGTGGCAGTCCAGCACAGGATACAGACACAACCATGACCAGTACAACCAGTACCAGCAGCATGCCTATCCTGGGTATTACTCCTCCTGGGGCTACGATCAGACTGGAGGAGAGTATGGCTACAACTATCAGCAGTATGATTACACACAGTATCCCCCACCTCAGGTAAGCTCTCTCTGTTAAAAGCTAGTATTGACACCCATCACTTATTCATGTCTATCAATTGTGAATCATTTTAATGTTGTTGTTTTTTTTTTTCAGGAAAGTGAAGCTGTTGAGGAGGATGGACTTGAAGGTTGGTAATGCGGACTGCAAATCACTGTTTCATTTCTGACTGGTGTATCAGTTTTATTTTCCATTGTTTAGCCCTAAGGTGATTGCTTCACATTGTTTATTTTTGCTGATTAACAGTCCAAATTTATTGCATAAATAAACATGGGTCATGACAGGAATGACACTTAGGATATAATTTGAAACCAATACTGCAACAACCTCCCCAAATAAAATGTTTTTAGAATAAAAACTTTAAAAAACACCATAAAAGCTAAATTAATAGCTCTGGCTTTTATTTCCTCAATCACTGAACTCACCCTGCCTGTATTTGGGACAGGCCTGTAATTCCTTTCACTGAAAGGTTGCTCAGGAAAGATGGAAAATACTATAAAATTATTTATTTAAACCAGTATGAATATTACTATACAGTGGGTACGGAAAGTATTCAGACCCCTTTAAATTTTTCACTCTTTGTTTCATTGCAGCCATTTTCCAAAAATCAAAAAAGTTCATTTTATTTCTCAGTAATGTACACTCAGCACCCCATCTTGACAGAAAAAAACAGAAATGTAGAAATTTTTGCAAATGTATTAAAAAAGAAAAACTGAAATATCACATGGTCATAAGTATTCAGACCCTTTGCTGTGACACTCATATTTAACTCAGGTGCTGTCTATTTCTTCTGATCATCCTTGAGATGGTTCTACACCTTCATTTGAGTCCAGCTGTGTTTGATTATACTGATTGGACTTGATTAGGAAAGCCACACACCTGTCTATATAAGACCTTACAGCTCACAGTGCATGTCAGAGCAAATGAGAATCATGAGGTCAAAGGAACTGCCTGAAGAGCTCAGAGACAGAATTGTGGCAAGGCACAGATCTGGCCAAGGTTACAAAAAAATTTCTGCTGCACTTAAGGTTCCTAAGAGCACAGTGGCCTCCATAATCCTCAAATGGAAGACGTTTGGGACGACCAGAACCCTTCCTAGAGCTGGCCGTCCGGCCAAACTGAGCTATCGGGGGAGAAGAGCCTTGGTGAGAGAGGTAAAGAAGAACCCAAAGGTCACTGTGGCTGAGCTCCAGAGATGCAGTCGGGAGATGGGAGAAAGTTGTTGTAAGTCAACCATCACTGCAGCAATCCACCAGTCGGGGCTTTATGGCAGAGTGGCCCGACGGAAGCCTCTCCTCAGTGCAAGACACATGAAAGCCCGCATGGAGTTTGCTAAAAAACACCTGAAGGACTCCAATATGGTGATAAATAAGATCCTCTGGTCTGATGAGACCAAGATAGAACTTTTTGGCCTTAATTCTAAGCGGTATGTGTGGAGAACACCAGGCACTGCTCATCACCTGTCCAATACAGTCTCAACAGTGAAGCACGGTGGTGGCAGCATCATGCTGTGGGGGTGTTTTTCAGCTGCAGGGACAGGACGACTGGTTGCAATCGAGGGAAAGATGAATGCGGCCAAGTACAGGGATATCCTGGACGAAAACCTTTTCCAGAGTGCTCTGGACCTCAGACTGGGCCGAAGGTTTACCTTCCAACAAGACAATGAGCCTAAGCACACCGCTAAAATAACGAAGGAGTGGCTTCACAACAACTCCGTGGCTGTTCTTGAATGGCCCAGCCAGAGCCCTGACTTAAACCCAATTGAGCATCTCTGGAGAGACCTGAAAATGGCTGTCCACCAACGTTTACCATCCAACCTGACAGAACTGGAGAGGATCTGTAAGGAGGAATGGCAGAGGATACCCAAATCCAGATGTGAAAAACTTGTTGCATCTTTCCCAAAACGACTCATGGCTGTATTAGATCAAAAGGGTGCTTCTACTAAATACTGAGCAAAGGGTCTGAATACTTATGACCATGTGATATTTCAGTTTTTCTTTTTTAATAAATTTGCAAACATTTCTACATTTCTGTTTTTTTCTGTCAAGATGGGGTGCTGAGTGTACATTACTGAGAAATAAAATGAACTTTTTTGATTTTTGGAAAATGGCTGCAATGAAACAAAGAGTGAAAAATTTAAAGGGGTCTGAATACTTTCCGTACCCACTGTAGGTTATCTAATATATCAATTCCAAGTGATTAATCTAGCTCTGTGAGACAGCGTGTCTCGGCCAACCGTTTTTCTTTTGAGGTAACTACAGTAACGTTAACGGCCTGTTTCTGTCACTCGTTTTTAAGCTAGCCACGCCTAAATTTGGAGTGCACACGTATTAAAGCCTTCATGGTAACTGAAACGGACCAGAGCGAGCTGACAAAGACGTTAGCGACTTCATCCTGTCAGTTTCTCTCTTTTCAAAGACAAGTGTTGCAGTATGAAAGTCCTACCTGAAGAGAGGCTATGAAGTCTTCTTGTTACGCCGTACGAGAACCACATACAATATATATGTTATATTAATTATATATGGTCTATGGTCAGACCGGGTTGGACTTGATGAATTTAGCGCGAGGATACACGTGACAGCATACGGTTTTCAAAATAAGGTGTTTATACAGTATGGAAATAAGATTAATTGGATTATATTCACAGAAAGTATAAAACAACAACAATAAAATTGGGAAATTGCTTATTTTCTATTCTTTAATTTGGGTTGCTGGAAAAACATTAAATAAATTTGCTGACTTTTGTTGCTGTTTCAACACCTTTATAGCTATAAAATGGGTTTATGATGAAATAGTTTACTAGAGCACAACATTGTTTACAAGAGTGCAAAGTTATTCATAGATAACCTCTTAATTTTGCACCAAATGAATGTTTAACTTTAAATGTACAAAACTTTCTTCCGGGGGGGCATTCCCCCCGAGATGACCACTAAAAATATTTTTTTTGTCTGTGGGAGTTTAAGAGACACACAATTCAAGTTCATAACAAGTTTAATAACAAACTGGATAAAGCCATCAAGTTATTAAAAGAACTCCAGCACAGAGAAAGAAACACAACAGTTTGGTAGGTCTGGAAACAGAATAGGGCACCTCCAGCGCAGATGGACATTACTTCGGCTCCTTGTAGAAATGAAAACTTAACGATGGCATCGTCTATCGGCAATGGCTGACAGACGTCACGATGTTAAGCAGGCATCTTGATTGTAAAATCCTGACGCAGCCTTTCAAACAAAGGAAACCAACGTCTGCACCCTGTGTGTTCACTGCTGCTTTACCTGGTCCCTGCTTGAAAAATTTCCACCGCAACTTGTAACGTCATAGGCTACCAAGTTTTTAACCAAGTGAAGTCTGTGTGAGTGAACACATGCACATAAGATGACCGCTATCCCACCGTGCACGTGCCCCCGATGTCCTCGTCCATCCCGATGTTTCAATGTAGACATCGTCCAATGGAAATTTTGTAGACATCGCCCAACCCTACTCTATCAGCAGTTAACTGTAAACACACAGCAGGACTAACTGCACATCGGCTGCTATTTCCGACTTGTGTGTGTGCTATCTGGGTGTTGATTGTGATTTATTGGTTTGCTAATGTAATAGAGTCAACAGTGGGAAAGAGACAAGCAAAACACCAGAAATGCTCAACTTAAAGTGAGCAGCCTCTACTTGACAATTCAGAAATGCACTGCAAGGCAAGTCCCCCCTCCAAAGTTCTGGTACTTTGGGAAAATTCATAGCCCCTGTCTCTGTTGCAGATCCCAGTCCGACGCTTGATGTGGTGGAGGCCAACAGGAAGTTCATGGAGCTCAGTGAGGAACTGTATGATGCTCTGATCGAGTGTCACTGGCAGCAATCAGACATCTCCACAGAGCAGGACCATGCGACATCCAGCTTACCAGAGCCCATTTACTGCTGAAACGGAACACATTTTCTTCTTAGTATGGATTATTTTTGTATGGACATAAATGAAATTAGTCATGGTAATGGATCTTATTCAAGTATACAAAGCCATTGAAATGTTCTGTGAATACAGACAATTCTGAATTTGAAACAAAACATATTTTTGATTTATTTATGGCTCTACAAAACACACTGATAACATAACATTCAAACATTCAAATGCAGACACCTGCAATGTAAAATTAAACAATCAAATCTTAAATCGAAAATGACATCAATACAAACCAAAAAAAAGATATTTCAGACATTGACTTGACAATGATAGACTACAAAACAAACTGACCACATAAGCAATTGTTGACAATGAAATTCTTGTTCTCAGGCTCCCTCCATCAATGCTCATATGAAATTGTCATTATAGCCCCCATAAGAAGAAAAGTTACGTGAATATACCCTATTTGGAATTATCCTGACATATTTTGGTTTGTATAAAAATGAAACAGTCAGTGGTGAAAGTTGGTGGAGACTGTTTTGCTCTCAGCCCATTCGTTCTTTCATTCTTGATGAATGGTGGCAAGTGTTGAGTTTATAATTTTGTTCAGTCTAAGATATATATAAGGGCTACGTGTCCTGGCGCATTTGTCAGGAAGTGTTCATTCACTTGAAGTCCTGCTATCAGAGATCCATAATGGAAAATATAGCTCCTTTCTAGCAGAGGCTGCCATGCAAGGTGCCAACTGCTAATCAGAATAGAACTAATCATTCACACACTGATGGCCTTCAGGAGCAATGCCCAAGGACAAATGGACATGCAGACTAGAGAAGCCTGAAACACAGCCCCTGGTAATCGAAACTGCGACAACAACCAATCATCTGTGTCTGCCAGTAGATCAGCATGCTGTCACTCTCTCCCAATGGCCTGATGCGCAAAGCAAGGTTACACTTTATATACAGAGACGTGACCTTCAATTAGGCTAGGTTCAGACTGCAGGCCTTAACGCCCAATTCCGATGTTTTTTCCCAGATCCGATTTTTTTTGTTTGACAGTTCACATTATAGTTTAAATGTGGCCCATATCAGACTCCCGTGTGAACTGTCCACGGCCTAAAAGTGACCCGCATGCGCAGAACAATACCACAATGTCACGCAGCACGCTGTTGCAGGCTACAGAAGTAAACAAGGAGCAACAGAGGTTAGCTCCGGTTAGCGGGAGACTCCCGTTTTTCATTGTCCTCTCACGGGTCACATTTAACCCGAATTATGGCAAGTGTTCCCAGCTTTCTATTCTTTTCTTTACGGTTTCTGTCGATGTACAACGCATCTGCCCCACAACTCCCTCCCTCTCTCCCCCCACTGTGTCTGCTCGGACAAATAGCATGCACGTAACTCAGAAGAGAGCTTGCGGTCCGGTGGATTTTAGTTATAAGAAAAGAAATTTGTGAGCAGATGATAGCGAGGTAGAGAAGGAAGAGAGCCACGTGTTTAATTATGGCTTTTTTTGGAGCTTTTTCGTTGAGCGCGGTTCTGTCTGCAGCAGTTTTGCCGCGACCTGAGTGTCCAGACTGAGGTCGCATTTAAAAAGATCCGATCTGTATAGGATTTGGACCACATATGGAAGTGGCCCAATTCCGAACTGGAAAAGATCAGATTCCATGTGACTTGGCCTGTTCACACTGTGTCAGATCTGAGTCGCATATGGGCAAAACAATCTGATTTGGGTCACATTGGCCTGCAGTCTGAACATAGCCTTAGTGCTTCAGTTAAGTTGTTTAGATACAGTGTGTTACAATATCATCAATTACCAATTGAAATGAGTGATGATATCGTTAGGCTATATGAATACATTTTGAATTATGAACTAAATTGCAGAGGCAAACAGAATAATATGAATATAATTTGTGGAATTAAAAGGTCATTGATGTTATTCTGATTTCAAAATTAATTGAACGTACAATCCATTAGTGAAAAACAAAGGACTGGATAAGGCAGAATAACATGCACATTACTCCTACGACTGGCCTGGACCTTGTAAATTGTATTCATGCCTAAGAGAAAATTCAAAATACGAGAAATTGGTGAATGCGGCAAGTTCTCTTAAATCACTTGTATAAACCTACGCATGGCGCTTGCATAAGGCCCAATGTCTCTCTTGATACTGAGTCACTAAAGACAGAATATTTTGTTCAGACTTTAAAGTATCTACTACTTGTAATATGCACAATTTTTAGCACCAGGTGTGCTAAAGTAATACAACGATGTTATATTTTTTTGTTTCCAGTGTCCTGTTCTTCATACATGGATAACAGAATATTTATATATAGAAGTTGATTTGATTGTTGATGAGTTGACACAAGCCTGGATTTTTCAGCTCTTCAGCGGTGGCTTAATGTATATCAAGAGTTGCTGTCTTAGCAACAAGTCTTTACCCAAACCTGCAGAAGTGCAGCTTATTAACAGTAAGCTGGACCATGACCAAGACTTACTTTACTTTATTACATAAACTTACTTTTAGAGGAGAACTCATTCATTACAGATTTAAAAATCTATTAATGATAAAAGAGGCTATTCAGTAAGCTAAAGTAGGCTAAAGCGTGTTAATCAATACAACGTGTCAATGTTGAATATGAAAAAAAGACATACTTTAATCCCGCAAGGGGAAATGTTTTCCACTCTGTTGTTAACAAGTTAGTATTATACACACAGGTCTGAAATACACACATGCACAAACATATGGAGAGATGTCAGAGTGAGGGCCCTGCCAGGGCGGCACTCTGAGCGTTTGAGGGTTCAGGGGGCTCAAGGCCACCTTCGGCATTGCCCAGTGCTCCTCTCTAGCTACCAGTCCACACTCCATATCTCTGGTCCAAGCTGGACTTGAACCCTCCAGTTTCCAGCCAAGTCCTTAAAGACTGAGCTACTGCCGCCCCAATATAGTTTGGGATACAAGAGAAACTCAGTAAAAGTTACAGTGATCTGTAAGATTAATGGGACAAAAAATGCTAAAACAATACAATCTCATGAGCACCCAACCGATTAGATGAGATGCTCATTTTGTTTTTGTTAAGAAATAAAGTGCAGTTATTAAAGTTAACTTAATTTTAGTCAGTCCTTTAAAGAACCCAGTCAGTTGGATAAAAATCAACAGGATCATTTTAGCTTGCTAACATTACCTAAGCCTGGGTTAGTTGAACCATGTTTGAAGAACAGAGCATAATGTGCACAAAGGTTCACACTATCCTCCCAGATCCCAGTCCCAAATGCCCTGTCCAACCAGAAAGAGCCATTAGTGCAACAAGGACAAAATCCCTTACTGGCTGTCCGCTACTTACAGTGCTATCTGAACACCTGCTCTGAGGCAGTTTCTCACCTTGGTTCGTGCACTGTTGTCTTAAGACCGCCATGTGGATTTTTAAGACCTCAACAATTCTCATGTGACATGGCCTGAATGAGCCACAGAGGTTAAGGACTCAATATGCTTTAAACAAAGTGTTTGTCTTGTCAGATTGCCTAATAGCCCCAGAAACTCCCTCACCACCACCTGTCCACCTGCCCACTGAAAGCTGTGAAAGTAAGCAGGGTTTGAACTGCTCTTTAAAGCTGTCTTTTTAGCCATGCTAGCAGAATGGCTTTATGTACGGCAGTGTTAGTTTGCCACTTTGGTACAGAAATGCTGAAATATCAGCTACTAAATGGAGCGCCATGACATTTTGAGCAGACAATCGTAGTCCCCAGGGGGGCCAACTTCTGCATGGCAGTGTTGTCTGACAGAAAAGTTCAACCGGGCTCAATTTCTGATGCAGTGCATTGCAGCGTCATCCAGCACGGTGCTGCATTTGCCGGTCACATAGATCCATGTTCACATTCCTGGTGGATTACTTTGTAACATGAACACTACATTTCTACTGTATATCTCTCCATTGTCGCAAGAAAAGTTACAGTGTCGGTGTAGTATAAACTGCTGTGCAGTGTTTTGGCATCTACAAAGCCTTCATACTCAAACCCTGTGCTCATACTGGACTTCATGTCTCAATGGATGCAATCCAATGCAGCCCCCTGATTCTAGTCAGACTTGTGCAGGTGAAAAGTGGGCAGGCTATAACTTGTCTCTCAAGCTCTATTTCTTTAATACTTCAACTACCTCTGTCACTTTTCAGTGAGTGCAATGCCACGAATGTCTTACAAAGCCTGTCTAAAAGTGTGCAGTATTACCTGCATTTGTACGATTAATCTCTTCAAGACTGCAAAGACGCACCAAATCATACTGAGGCCTTCAGAGTGCCTGGGACCCACCATCCCCAAATCTAGTAACTGGATCTAAATGTGCCCACAAATGTAATTGTAATTACTTCTCTGGTGTTTCATAGACAGCAATAGATTAACATGAATAGATAGTGAACTAAACTGCTGGCTCCCGGCGACCAGAGGAGGTGAGCAGCAGAGATTGGAAAACATTTTACTTCACTGTGTGTACCCTTGTCTAAATGTAAGCTGTATGTGGGGCGTGGTGAGACGGCCTGGGGCAGGGTGCCTCAAAATGTTCCTTATTTTCAAATCCCAAAGTTTACAGGTATGCCTTAGTGGAGCATGGGAAATACAGGCCCAACTTTTGTGGTAATCGGGTAGACCTCTGGAGCTATGACATCATTCCTGTTTTGTTCAACCCACAGTAAGTTCTTTAACTTCTTAACAAAATTATTTGAGTAACTTTTGATCATAAGGCTCCATAAATTCTACTTGCAAATTTCCGTGTCGATTGGACTGACCACCTACGAGTTTGAAAAAGTAGGTCTTGTAGCTGAAGTGCCACCGTTTGGCAGATTGGCGCCAAATTTTGGACAGAGCGTCAGTTTGACATGGAAGGCACTAGCCTACATTTTGTGTTCCAACTGAGTTATATGGAAATATGAGATCACTTCCTGTTCCGTCACACTTCCTGTGACTGTAATCTCAACGCCACTGGTTGTTGGTTTTACACATTTTGCAATTTTGTGGGCAAAACAATTATAGGCCAATATGGGCGTGGCCTATATCACAAGATGCAGCTCAACTTACAGAATGTGTGGATATAAGGTTTTTGAATGTGCGACATACTATGTGGGAGTTACAGGCCAAAACCAAAAAGGGGAAGCGAGCAAGTTCAATAGGATTCCCAGCAACG